CCTTCATGAGCGGCGACACCGAGTTGCAGTGAGGGCACACTCAAAGAAGCGGCGGCGATCGGCAACGATATCGTCCACGACGTCGACGGTGCCATCGAGGTATGTTCAGGACTCCAAGACGAGACGGAGCCGGAGGATGCTCCGTGACCCGAGGGGAATGATAAACGGGGCGCTCCGTCCTTCGCTGCACTCGGTAATGTCGCTGGCTCACTCTGAGCAGCGCGGTCTTCTCCGTCGTGTCCGCTGCAATACGTATATCTCTATCCGCCAAATCCGATGTACCAAGTCCAAGACACGGTATTCAAGCGAATCTGGAGATTCAGGTGAACACTTGTCACTGGGTGAAGCAGTATGTACATCTCTGATCATGATTGGGAACGTCGACCTTGTCACTGTCGCTACGGCCCAACCACGTTGATAGCGGTCGTGGTGATTTGGACGATAATGACGTCCGTGCAAGGTTTTGAAAGAGGCATACACATTCAATCTGAGGGCGAAGTCGCTCCCAAGCTCTGCTGGCCGTCCCTGCGGGGAGCGCGCGGGCAGCTGTATTGAGATCGGCCGCCGGCTCGAGGGCACAAGCGGATGGACCTGTTTGGAATATTTGACTTGATCAGGCGGGCTCAAAGCGCCGCTGCCCAGGTTACGGTCGCCCATCGCCATGGCGATGATGGAGGGCAACCACGCTTCTCGTGGGAGACCCCGGCGGCAGTCGGCTGCGAGCCATGGCACCGACCCAGAGGAAGGGGGAGGAGACCATATGTCTTTCCGATGAATTCATTCTGGCCTGAGGAAGATGCGCATTTGTGATGGAGGTCAGGTTTCTCTGGGAACCGCGGCCGTATAAAGAGGAAGTGTAAGAAGCGCGGATAAAAAGGCTGCCCCGTGTACCGACCGCGCTATTGTTCTTGTCCTCGTGCTGAGCGTCAGCGTGTACTTCCTGGTTATCTCTTGTCCTCTCCCTCCATCTCCCCGCGCCGCAAATTCTTGTTTTTTCGATGGCTGAGCAGAGGCAAACCAGGGCCAAGCACGGCCACGCTGCATCGACGGCCGCCCCTGCGCCGAGGAAAGTTCGGTTTAATGTTGGTTCGTGGCTTTCCACCTGCGGTTACCTTGCTCCTTGTCTTCCCCCATGTCGTCTAACAACCCGCGCTTCGCTGTAGGCACCAACTACCAGGTCCTCGACGTCGTCGGCGAGGGTGCCTATGGCATCGTCTGCAGCGCCGTCCACCGCGCCAGTGGTCGTAAGGTCGCCATCAAGAAGATCGCGCCCTTCGACCACTCCATGTTCTGTCTCCGCACCCTGCGCGAGCTCAAGCTGCTCAAGTTCCTCTCCGAGGCGGGCGTTTGCGAGAATGTGCGTCCTCGCGATGCCCACGATGGCCCCGCTCACCGTCCGTACCTGCCCAGATCATCGCCATTTTGGACATCATCAAGCCGCCGTCGATCGAGCAGTTCAAGGAGGTCTACCGTACGTCCTGATCGCCTCCCGCGGCGCCCCGCACCCGCGCTGACGCGGCCCCCACAGTCATCCAGGAGTTGATGGAGACCGACATGCACCGCGTTATCCGAACCCAAGACCTCTCCGACGACCATGCCCAATACTTCGTGTACCAGACCCTGCGGGCTCTGAAGGCCCTGCACTCCGCGGACGTCATCCACCGCGACCTCAAACCCTCGAACCTGCTCTTGAACGCCAACTGCGACCTCAAGGTCTGCGACTTCGGCCTCGCGCGGTCCGTCAAGACCGCGGAGCCCTCTGGCACAGAAACGGGTTTCATGACCGAATACGTGGCGACACGGTGGTACCGTGCGCCCGAAATTATGCTTACCTTCAAGCAATACACCAAGGTGCGTGTCCGACGCGTCGACTCTTGTGCTTGCGCTAACACGGGGATTGTCAGGCAATCGACGTATGGTCTGTCGGCTGCATCCTCGCCGAGATGCTATCCGGCAAGCCTCTCTTCCCCGGACGCGACTACCACCACCAGCTCACGCTCATCCTCGACGTGCTCGGTACGCCGACGCTGGACGAGTTCTACGCCATCTCTACGCGCCGATCGCGCGACTACATCCGCGCGTTGCCCTTTAAGAAGAAGCGGTCTTTTGCGACGCTCTTCCCGAACGCGACTCCCCTTGCAGTCGACTTCCTCTCACGGACGCTCACCTTCGACCCGAAAAAGCGCATCACCGTAGAGGAGGCGCTGGAGCACCCTTACCTTGAGGCATACCACGACCCAGACGATGAGCCCGTCGCACCACCACTCGACCCGGAGTTCTTCGAATTTGATCGTGAGCAGTTTATCGCGTACCGCGCCCCTCGGCCTCCTAACAGTCGCTGCAGTCCACAAAGACGACATCAGCCGCGAGCAGCTCAAGGAGCTGCTCTACGACGAGATCATGTCCTTCAACCCGGCGCCCATCACATAATCTGCGCTTCATCGCGAAATCTTCTATTGTCAGTCGGCCTCTGTCTCGCAGGCTATCGCCCACTGACCGCGTGCACCCATCAGATTCTTACACTGCGACTTGGGCTTTGCGTTTTCGTGGCGTCCCCTCTCCTTCCATCCTTCCTTCCATGTTGGACCCCTTTCCCGCATATGGTCCCTGCATCCTTCGGGTACCTCCCCGGTACCTCGCCACTCTCGCTATCACCGTGACCAGCGCGCGCGCCACATCCACGCACACACGCGCGATTCTCAAGCACAACTCCAACCACAGTAGTTTATATACATACACCTCTCCTTCGCCCTTTATTCCCCTCTCTCTCTCTCTACCCTCCATCCTTTACCATTCGCACGCTGCACGCAGATCTAGGATGTCCGCAGATTCAGGATGCTCCCCCATCTATAACCGTCTTCGCTGCCTGAGCAGGAGGGCCGTCGACCGTGTATTCATCTTCAACACCCACGTCGCGTTTGCTTTGCATTTATCGCTATCATCTTCCAAGGCCTCCCAGGATCGCTCAGACAGTTCATTTTTTGTATCACCAGCCAATGTAGAAATGCCCGCAGTGTTGTGTGAAGGAAGAATCTTGACGAAGAAAGCGTCCCGAGTAAACAGGGGCACCGGCAACTGCCGAGAAACGCCGTTCGCGTTCGTTGGCGGCACAGAACTTCGCCTCTTTCTTCCGCCATCCTCGTTGCGCCTCTCCCGCCTCCACGGGACAGGTCTTGCGAGCAGCGATGCTCATGTGGATATCCTTGACTGCTCAAACCTACAGTAATCCGCTTTTCCACATCCTTCTCGGGCGGTTCGCATGACCAGCGCGAGCGTCATCATGAAGTTGCGATGAAGTCAAGTCGCGGGAAGCCCAGGGGAAGCCCTGTCTATATAAGCCCGGGCAACGGCAGCAGCATCTCTGTAACTGTATATGCGAAGCTTGATCTCTCGTCTCAAAAACATGCCTTCCGCGACGAGAAACTCACTCTCTGGACTCGTCCGTGCGAATGCGCGCGACCTGCCCGACCCGGTGGCGGATCCTGAGCGCTTTGGGGCGAAGTTCGACTCCCTGTGCAGCGGGGCACGCGTTGTCTTGCTCGGCGAGGCCAGCCATGGGACATCCGAGTTCTATCGCTCGCGCGCGGCGATCACGCAACGGCTCATTGACCAGCATGGCTTCAACATCGTCGCCGTGGAGGCAGACTGGTGCGTTCTCTTACCCCCCTACAAAAGGAATATATGCGCTGAACTTTGCGCGTTCATTGCTCAGGCCAGATGCATCGACAGTCAATCGCTTCTTGAAGCACAAGCGCTCGTCCCAGCCGCCGCCTTCCGTCGAGAAGGTCCCGTTCACTCGATTTCCGATGTGGATGTGGCAGAACGCCGACTTTGCGCGCTTCGTGGCGTGGCTGCGATCCTACAATGGGGACCTGCGGGAGGACGAGCGCGTCGGCTTCTACGGCCTCGACCTCTACAACCTCAACGTGTCCATGCGCAGCGTGCTCGAGTACCTAGCGCGCGTCGACCCGGACGCGGCGCGCGTGGCGCGTTCCCGCTATGGTTGCCTTGCCCCATGGGCCAGCGAGCCCCAGGAGTAGTACGGCGCAGAATCCCTCCGCACGGGCTACGCCAAGTGCGAAAAGGGCGTCATACAGGTGCAGCGCGACCTCCTGCAGCAGCACCTCACAGATGCCGCGGACGAGGATGACGTGCTGAACGCGGAGGCCTGCGCGCGCCTGGTCACCAACGCCGAGCGCTACTACCGCGCGATGTTCTACGGCGGCGAGGAGTCGTGGAACCTGCGCGACACGCACTTCTTCGAGACGCTCGAGGCCGTGCTCGAGGCGAAGGGCTCCGACGCGAAGGCCGTCGTGTGGGCACACAACTCGCACGTCGGGGACGCGCGGTACACGGACATGGGCTCGGAGCGCGGGGAGCTGAACATCGGGCAGCTGTGCCGCGAGCGCTTTGGGGACGAGGTGCGGATAATAGGCTTTGGCACGCACACCGGGACAGTCGCGGCGGCGGACGAGTGGGACGACCCTATGCAAGTGATGCGCGTGATGCCGTCGCGGGAGGACAGCTACGAGCGGGTGTTCCACGAGACGGGGATCCCGCGATTCTTTGTCGACTTACGAGGGCGGAAGGCTGTCGAGGAAGAGAACAGCGAGGAGGCCGACGACATGGCCCTGATGCGAAGGCAGCTGATGGCGCAGAGGAGGGAGCGGTTCATCGGGGTCATCTACCGGCCCAAGACGGAGCTTTGGAGCCATTATTCTCGTGCGACATTACCACGGCAGTTCGATGCGTATGTGTGGTTCGACTCGACGAATGCGGTGGTGCCGATGGATGTCCCTCAGAAGCCTGGAGCAGAAGAGACGTATCCCTTTGGGTATTGAATGTAGCAGACAACTTGTGTAATTCTAGATGTAAAAGGTTGTATCAGATCTGTTTGCCCTGCTTGCCGGGTTGTCAATCGTTTGAGAAGTGCGACGTCGAGAGCACGAAGAGCTGTGTATGTTACAGCTTGTTAAATATGTAAGAGTAGCTGGCTTCAAGGCGAGATGGCCGAGCGGTCTAAGGCGCTAGAATCAGGAGCACTTCGCAGTCTCTTATCTAGTTCTTCGGAGCGTGGGTTCGAATCCCACTCTCGTCACATTTTTGCTTTTTGCTCTTGACTTGCATTGCACAGCGCATCAGAGGCGTTGATTTTGACCCTCTGCGCGCAGTCCAGTCCAACTTGTACGCGTAAGAAACTTATTTCCTGCTCTCGCTGATTCTGGAAATGTGACTGTCTGGACTCTGACCATTGTGCCTCGCGGTGCCAAGTGCGATGACGTCCGTATGCGATCTGGGCTGCGCGCCTCAGCAACGAGTCTCCTTTGCATCCTACCAACACGTTCACATACCCGTAACCCATCACTACAGCCACTTCGCCATGTCTGTCATCGCATCCGCCTACCGCCGCCTCTCCCTAGACACGTCGGCCACCGAGAGCAAGTCCCCCAACGGCGCGTCGCCCCATGAGGCGCGCCTCGGGATCGCCAACGTCGCGAACATCTTCGTCCGCATGCGTCGAGCCCGCGCACGCGCCGCGCTCGCTTCTTCCTCCTCGGCGGACGCTTTGTGTGATAGCGGGGACGCGCCGCTGTCGCATGCGGGGCTCATGGAGGCGATGGTCACGGAGCGCAAGGAGTCGCTCGATACGCGGCAGACGTATGTTTGCACGGGTGGCGTGAACTTGCCTGTGCTCTTGCGCGCTGCGCGCTGCAAGTTGATGGATGTTGCGCGGGAGCTGGGCGCGAATGCGCTTGTGGACGAACAGTGCGTGAATGTTTTTGCATGCTTGTAGTTCATGATAGGGTCTAACAATGTTTTTCTGCAGATGGTCTGGTCAGTATTCCTTCTGCAACGTAAGCCTCCCCCTCGCATAACTGACGAGATCTACAGTCGACATGCATGAGCCCAAACCGAAAGCGCACGGCACGTACAAGGTTCATGTGGGTGGCATTTCTGGAGGGGAATGTTCTTCGCTCATTGTTTTCTGCAGGTAACTTACTGCGCCAATGCCATTCGCTCAAATGCAGCAGACCCTGGAAAGCCTGTTGCCCTCGACAAGGCAAAGAGCATTCCAGGTCTGATGACCATCGTCCGACGCGAAACTGCGGCCGCCAAGTAGAGTCTCTCATTGCTTGTCCTAAGTATCCATTCCCCGTTGTAGATACAGTAGAGTACACACATCCTATCATTATCTCGGCAACGTAGACATCATGCACATCGACCCCGCCTTTGTTCGCGTCTTGAGTTCTTCCATGACGGGCTGGCACAGTTGAACTTGCTGGGAGCCATAAAGCAAAAATGTGACGAGAGTGGGATTCGAACCCACGCCCCGGAGGACCAGATGATTCTGGAGGGAATCAGATGTGCCAGCAGATGCTAGCTGATCCTTAGTCTGGCGCCTTAGACCGCTCGGCCATCTCGCCTTGTTATTAGTGGGCTTGCTTGCGGCTATCATGGCATAGCTGTGCGCCCGCGTGACTTTCCCTGACGCGTCGTGTTGATGGCGCGTCGCGACCGCATGCAGGTCTTGGCCCTCGGTGGTTAGTTCGTGTTGTCTCTTACTGTCATGCTATGTCTTCCTCGCCCAAGAATGCCGTCGTTGGAACACTTATTGTCGTGGTCATTGAGGCCGTACGTGTCCTTATATCTGCAGATCACCACCAGGCTGAAAGACGGCGGACGCGTAGATGCACCTTGTGAATAGAAAGTCAATCGGCAAGCAGACTCCTTACTGCGTCGTGAGCTTCAATGGGGAGAAGCAGCGGACGCGCGCTATCAATCGCGGGGGACAGAGAGCGCACTGGGACCAGGAGCTGCGCTTTACGCTGTATGAGGCGGACGGGGTGCAAGCGGCAGGCACAGACGCGCCACCTGAACTGCCCCCAAAGGAGGAGGACGGCCCGCCGAAAGTCAAGGGTGGCCTCAAGATGAACGTCGCCTGCTTCGCCGAAGGCTTGAAGGAGCCAGACCTCGTCGGTCAGACAGTTGTGGACTTGACACGCGTTCTGACGAAGGGCGAACATGATGGTGTGTCTGCTACATTCCCTGCTCTTGCGTTGCGCTCACAGATGAAGCTCAGACTGGTTCGATTTGTCGCACAAGGACAGGTTCGCGGGGCAGGTGTCCCTGCAGATGACCTTTTGGTCGAACGTGCGCCACCGTTTTCGAGCGCATATACCCACCTTTTTGACTCGCAATTACAGTCCAGACCTCCACCGAAGAAGAAGGAGAAGAAGAAATCGAGGAAGAGCGCCGTCTACGGTGGCCCTGGCTCTTTCAACAGCCCTGACGGCGCGGAAGCGCCTGAAGCTCGGCATTCTAGAAGGAAATCCACGGCCACGTCGTATGAATATGAGCTGTATACTGCGCCATACGAGGAGCAATCTCCTCCTCCCCCTGTACCTGCCATTGACACCCTGGCTGATGGGGTGGCCTCTACGCGCATAAGCACCAGTGGCAGTGGCCACCAGGCGTTCCCTGTATGCCTATCTCACGGCCCTTCGCACCTTCGCTGATCGTGTTCGTAGTCATACGATTCCCAGTACTCTGTGTCCAGTTCTGGACCGGCGTATCCACCCCCAACACCTGCGTACCAGGCGCCCTACTCGTACCCGCCTCCGCCCGGGCCACCGCCAGATCCAGGACAGGCCTACAACCCACATGCGACGGCAGTACACTCGCGACCGCTGCCTACCCCGACCTCCGCCACCGCTCCGTCCTGGCAGACTTGGCCGCCCGCCGCTTCAACAGCAGCACCTGCCTGGCCGTCGTGGGACGCTCCGGGCTCTTCAGCTCCTCCCCCGCCGCAACCATGGCCAAACGGCCTGCCAACCTACGCGGAACCGCAGATGAACGGGGCTGGGATGCCAGGTGGTCCAACACCATTCCCTCCTCCTCGTATGCGCGCCATGTCGACGGCTCCCGCTCCAACGCCACGCCCAAGGAGCCGCACCGTGTCTATGGCGCCAGCACCGCCGCAGCCGCCGCCTAGGAGTCGCACCATGTCGACCGCGCCGATGCCGCCGCCACCACGCAGCCGGACAATGTCGACAGCGCTGAATGGTCTTGGCGGTGCGCCGCCTGTGCCTCCAGTCCCGCCGCTTCCGCCGCAATTTGCTCCGCCGCCATCCGTTCCTCCAGTGCCGCCTATTCCTTCGCACTTTGCTGGCCATGGGCATGCATCCTCACTAAGGCCGCTGCCACAGCAGCCGCAGCATTCGAGTGACCCGTATAGTTCGCTGGCGGGAATACAGCCGGGCGAGTACGTCCCCGCGCATGGTGGGTATACGCAACCGCAGGCATACGGTGGTCAGCAGTATGAGGTGCAGCAGCCGTACAATGCTCAGCAGGCGTACGATACGCAGCAGTCGTATGACGCGCAACAGTCCTACGATGCACAACCAATTTACGACTCGCCCGTGTACGAAGAGCAGCAGCCAACGTACGGCGACGCGCAGCGGGCGTACGGAGGTTCTCAGCAGTCGTACGCGCCAGCGCAGCCGCTAGAACGCGTCGCTTCCTTCGAGCACGGGCAACAGCAGTACGGCGTACCCGCTGCTGCGCCCGAGCCCCCGCCCCGTCGTCGCACCAACACCCTCCGCATCGCGCCCGGATCGCACTCCGCGCCGTACATCCCGCACGAGTCCGAGCTCTTCCCTCCCCAGCGGGAGCCTGCGCGGCCGCGCTCGCGCTCCCCCGCTGGGCACGGGCGGTCGCAGTCCGTCCAGGCGCGCCCGCCCTCGGCGCACCCTCCGCCTTCCGCGCACGCGAGGTCGCCCTCGGCGCATGTCCGGCCGCCTTCCGCTGCCACCCATGCGCGGCCGCCCTCCGCTGCTACTCATGCGCGGTCGCCTTCGGCGCATGCGCGGCCCCCGTCTGCCTCGGCGCAGGCAAGGTCGCTTTCGGGACACCTCCCGCCGCCGTCGCCCGTGCCACCGCACGGGCAAGCCCCGCCCATGCCGACGCAATCGCTGGATGTGCCCCGGCCGCGCCGGACGTCGAACGCATCATCGCTGCGGTCGACTCACTCGGCGGGGTCACGCACATCGTGGCATGAGCCGCAGGGGTCGTACGAGGCGGCGGGCATGATGTACCCGGAGAATGGTGGTGTGCCGTACCAGGACGCGGGGAACATGGCGTACCAGGATAATCCTGGAGGCGTACCGTATCAGGCGCCTGGGGCTGCGTCGTACTATGAGATGGGGCAGCCATACCCAGGCGCGGGGGCACCGTACTACGACCCGTATGCGTCGGTGTCGAGCCACAACAGCCAGTACTCGATGGCGTCGAATCACTCTGGGCATAGTGCGATGTCGGTGCGGAGTGGTATGTCGGGGCACAGCGCGATGTCAGGGCACAGTGGAATGTCTGGCATGTCCGGCCACAGCGGCATGTCCCAGCACAGCGGTATGTCCCAGCATAGCGGCATGTCGGGTCACGGGGGCTATCCCGCGCATGCAATTCAGAGGCGTTGAACGTTGAACATTGGACGTTGGATAATCATTTTTCGTATCCCTTACAAGTCATATTATTTGCTCACAATCTACTCTAGATGTCCATGTGTAGTTGCTCGTCCTGTCCACAGTGCTTTCGATAATGCTTCATGCAATGCTATACGTGTTTTCTGGAGAGGAGGGGCTGTGGTGGTTTTGTTTTGGTGTATTCGGGCGCGTGCGGTGAGTGAGGCGATTTGTGTTGCCTCGTCTGTTTCCAATACCAGGGAGAGCGTCGAAAAGGTTCGTGGTTCGTTTGTGGCGCATCCTTCTGGGATGTCGCTGAGGGTTTCCGTCACAGATCCAGGATTGAACCATTTCCTCAAGCTATCAATGAGTGCATTCAACGTCTATATATGCCCTGTTCATGCCCTTTGCACCTTTCTCTTTCTCCGACAGCTCAATGTAGCGGCCGATGTTGGCACTAACCATGTCCCTCACGCTTTCGAGCTCGACACCGAAGGCCATGCGAAGCTTTTCGAAGCCGAAGTCGACTTCCTTCCTGGCGACCATGCCGTTGTTGGGGATGAGACCCTCCTCGACGGCTCCCGGGAAGAGCTTCCTCGTCAGAGGGACGACATCGTTCCAGCGCAGCGACTGAGCG